TGAATGTGGAGCTAGACGCCCCCCTCCCCTCTCTGCTCTCCTCCCCCACCCCCAACCATCCACCCACATGGTTTGGCTACGTGAAGGTAGAGTAATGAAGAGATGTTCTATTCCCATGCCAGCCAGAGGGGGAGCTCTAGGGTAACCCAGGCTTCGTTTTTAGAGAGAGGAAGGAACTGTGGGAAAAGATGCAGTGAGTGTCCTGGAGAGACCTTTGCTAGGAGAGGAAACCTTTGCAGGGAGAAGATGGAGAGGATTTGGAGAGGCCTTTCTGTGCATCCTGGCCTGCGTTTTTTTCTACACACATGCACGCGCGCACACACGTAGCGACACATGGGATTTTATGCCAAAAGGACCACCACAACATATGAGTAATGAATGAGCTTATCCTCAACTCTTCTTGGAGAAATCAGGGGACACAAAGTGGGGGATGTCCAAATGGTTGCAGGGTTGATGTGAACTCAGACAAAGAGGGCAGGATAAAGTTTGGACAATTTCATGACTGGAGACCCTCTTCTTTAAGAGAGGTTGTGTGTACGCATGTGTAATATTAAACTGGACCCCTTTTCTTGCATTTTATTGGGGGAGGGGAGATGTGGAAGATGAAGACAGAAAGGAAATGGGGAGCAGGTCAGGCGTTGAAATGAATGATTAAAACAAGATGCTCTTTTGTGGGCTGGGGGTGGGTTGGCACCATCTGAGATCTTTGCAGCATAGGGAGAGTCGCTGTTCAGACAGTTCTTGGATTGAATTGCAAGGGTTAAGACAGCTTCTACAGAATTTTCTGGATATGCCTTGAAATGATTTAAAATGGAGGCAACCTCTTTGAGAGGGTATGTGGGGGGGGGGAGAAGCCAGCATGAGGGTGGCGGTGGGGGAAAAACATTCTAGGAAAAATGGAGACTGCACAGCAAAGATCCAGAAGGAGATGGAAAGCAGACGCTTGAGTGTGCGTGTGGGTAGCTGGTATGAAATTGCTACCTGGGAAATACGCTGGTGGAATCATGCACTGCAACAGAATATATTTCTTGCTTTTCCCCCAAAATGTCATTTGGACCTCTTTATGCAAAGCAGATTCCTTTGTGCAGTGTGTGTGTGTGTGTGTGTGTGTGTGTGTGTGTGTGTGTGTGTGTGTTTCCCCTTCATGTTAGTGGAACACGATGTGTGTGAGCAGAGCAGGGTTTTTCAGAGAGATTTCTGTTTTGCTTGTACCAGGAGAAAGATGGATCTCTGCCCAGATCTCTTCTCCCTCCCCCTCCTTCTTCGATATACCCGAGTGCTAACCACACTAGCCAAAGCTGCTGTAGAATAACATGTGTTTGTCTGGCTATTTGAGGGTCTCTTTAGGTAGGTATGTGGGGGGGTGTAAGGAAATAATGGGGTGTTCCCAGGTATGTGTGATCTCCATTGCACATACCTGCACATTCCCAAAATTCTGTGGCACATTGGACTGAATAGTGGCAGGATGAATTCTGAGGATTTGGAAGAAACAAATACTTGTGTCTAGGATATGGGCCAGTGTGTGATTTATTGTAAGAAGAGGGGAAAGTCCCACCATTCTTAGTTTGCTAGTCTAAGGCTCTGATTATTCATTGCTAAAGTCACATCTAGCAACCCAGAGCAACCTATCAAGAAAGGGTTTCTCCCAACTTAGCTCAGTGGAATGTGGGATTCATACTACAACTGGATCATGCTAAACTTCTTGTCATTGAACAGAATACTCGAACCCCTTGGACAGCTGAAAGGTCTGTTGACTGGGCTCTTAGAGGTTACTGCCATCAACCTTTCTTGAGTGTCATTTTGTATATTTTGGAATTTAAACATTTCTTTTCTTGCTGCTGTGAAACTAGTTTGAATTATTCTTTAATGCCATGGTGGGACTGATCCAGGAAGATGCTGTTTTAAGCACCTCTTGTGAGCCAGTTTGGTATAGTGGTTAAGAGCGGCGGACTCTAATCTGGAGAACAGGGTTTGATTCTCCACTCCTCCACATGCAGCCAGCTGGGTAACCTTGGGTCAGTCACAGTTCTCTCAGAGCTGTTGTCTCAAGAGCAGTTCTTGCAGGGCTCTCTCAGCCCCACCTATCTCACAGGGTGTCTGTTGTGAAGACAGGAAGGGAAGGAGACTGTAAGCTGCTCTGAGACTCTGAGACTCCAAGTGAAGGGTGGGGTATAAATCCAACTCTTCTTCTTCTTCTTCTTCTTCTTCTTCTTCTTCTTCTTCTTCTTCTTCTTCTTCTTCTTCTTCTTCTTCTTCTTCTTCTTCTTCTTCTTGTCAAGTTATTGCACTAAGTACTCTAAACAAAACATATATAGAGTAACATGTGTTTGTCTCGCTATTTAAGGGTATCCTTTGGTAGCTGTGTGCTGGAGATCCTTTTTGTCATGATGGAGGTGAATGGTGGTAATATATATGATGACCTCTGCAAAGTGCATATATGCTGATCTGTAAAACCTTCAGAGGACAGTTCCTCACCCCTCACCCCAAATGCAAGCCAACACACGTGTGGTTCATTGGAGGAATGCTGCAGTACAAGCCCGTTGACTTCAGTGTACTTAGAAGAGTAGAACGCTCCTCAGAAAGACACTGCTAATGTTAGAAACACACTCACTGTTACACTTCCTGTACTTGAGAACCTTCAGGGAAAAGATGTATATATAATTCTTTGGAAAGCGTTCATTCCTAGAAACTTACTCATTGAAACCTTGCCATGTTCTGTACATGGGTTGACCAGCTTCCAAAAATTATGGAGTGATGGTAAAATTGTTTTCTTGTGTCCAAGGCATATTGGAGTTGATAGTGTTGACAGAAAGCTCAGATGAGGCAGTTAGGGCTGGCTGCACCTCAGCCTGGCAGTAGCCAGTTGGCTTAAGGCATTTTTTAACCTGTCTTTCTCTGGCAAAGGACTCCAGGCAAG